CGCGCCCCGCGCTCCCCAGGGGCGGCCGCGGCGCGGCGCCGGGTCCCCCTCTCCGCTAGCCGGGCCTTGGCTTGCGGGGCTCCCGGCCCAAGCGCTCCGCCAGTTTGGCCAACATGGAAGCTTCCCCTCCACCCGAGCGCCTCGCCGGGCTCCTCACCTCCGTTTCTTGCGTCTCAAGCGGCCACCTCAGTGCTTGGTCGTCAGGGTCCTCTTCCCCCCTGTTGCCCAGCCGCGGGAAACACCTGCCCGGAGCAGGGGCCGCGGGTCTCCCCTGCGTCGCCAGGCCCGGCCAGGCCCTTCCCCGCCCCTGCCTTAGTGCAGCAGCTACCTGGCCGCCGCCACTCACACTTTGCCTTTTTTTATTTTTTTTTTTCTCCAAGAAACTTGAAAGAGACCTAGTGTCTCCTCCCTGACCCAGCTGTTACTACAATTCCCAGTCTAGTTGTGGGTTTGTTTCACTCCAGCGTTGGCCACTGGAAAACGCTAAGTAAATACGGTACTTGCCGGCGGGGTCTTTCCTCTGCCCATCCCAGGCTTGTTCTCTCTTTTGCTTCTTAAAGTGCTGTTTCCCCAAAGATCGCCCTCCATGCCGGGCCAGCGTCTTGCACTCAGCGATCCACCCATGCCTGGGACGAGCGAGCTGCTCCCTTTTGCTGCTTACAAGTGGGAATTGGGACTCTGGGTGCAGCCCCGGGCCTGCCACCCTCCAGCCCTGCTCCCCCGTAGCCCTAGATCTTGGTCCTCCAGTTGGGAGGGATGTGAGGAAGCCTCAGGACTTTGTGTTCCTGCCATTGCCGGCGGACCAGACACCTTGTGGGTCCCAGATGGTGACTGTAGTCAAGTGGGTTGTGTGCTTACACTTCTGGACTGGCTTTGTCAGCCTGAGGGCCCATTGGTACTGTGCGTGATTGGATGGATTGGGGATCCCAGCTCCCCTCCCCCACGCTTTTACATCTGCGGTTGGAGTTTGGAATAGGAAAAAAATGGCCCCACTTTAGAGAAGAAAAGGTGCCAAGAGGAGACATGTGAGGGATTTTAGAAGTCTAAAAAATGAAAAATGTCTTCCAACTCGCCAGAGAAGCCTCAGAGTTCTCTCCTCAGTTTTGGGTAGCGTTGAGGACTTGGGGGTGCCCTGACCCTGCAGCCGCTGCTCGCTGCCTTGTTTTCCCTGGCTAGAGCCCCAGGCTGGGCAAGTGGGCAGAAAGGATCAAATGAGGTAGTGTGTAAAGTGCTTTGAAAACTGCTAACTAGTACGCAACTGCAGAGAGCTGGGAGACCTGACCGGCCGGGAACTCAGGCTGCAGCCCATTTCGGCGTCGGAGGCCTTCTCCCAGCCGCTGAGGAAGGGCCCTGTCACCTCCCAGCAGCGGGGCCGCCGGGACGTGGAGGACTCTGCCTGTGTTAACAAGGTGGTACTGGGCGGTGCCAAGGCACATTGCTCTGGATCGGGGCTAATTTTAGGGGTGATGGAGTAAGGAAATAATGTCCTTAACTTAGTGCGTGGTGAGAGTGCCCAATCCTTGCATCCTTTCCCTTTCTGGTGAGGTCTGAACCCCAGAGCACAGGCTCTCTCCCAGGTCCTTCAAGCAAGTTGGGAGCTCCTGGCATGTACCCTCTCCTCTTGCCTCCAGTAGGGGGCAGCCTTTTAATAGCAGTAATTCAGATGCTAGGGGAATAAAGGTGCCCTGAAACCTGAAAGAGAAAGGCTGTGGAGGGGCCAGAAGCTGGATAGACAGGCTGAGGCAGAGCCAGGGGCCAGGTGACCAGCTGGAGTGGGCCTGTGATGAAGAGGAGACCCGTAGCCCACACAGCCAGGAAGAGGTGAGTGAGAAGGGGCAGGAACCCTGGTCCTCACCGGCTACCTCTCCCAACCCTTTCTCCGTTAGAAAGGGATCCAGATGCTTGGCCTGGAGAGTGTGACAGATGAAGTTGGGGTCGGTGCTGGTTTTCTTTTAATCTATTCTTTTCCCAGGGATTCCTCTCCTGGCAGGACTTCAGCGTTCTCTCATGGGATAGTGTAATTAAGGAATCGTTCCCGGCTGCTCTGAGGGGAAAGTGAATGAGCACACTCTTGGTTCTCTCTCTTCCATTCTCCCCATAAATGCCGAGTAGGCTTTGCTGGACCCATGGGTGAGGGTTTCTCCACGGTTGCCAATTGTGGACCAGATACTTTTTTTTTTGTCTTCGAGTCTGTTCTGGGCATTGTAGGGTGTCTTACAGGATTCTTGGTCTCTACCTAAGAGATGCTCGTCACACCCCTGAGCCCTGTTGAGACAGCCTTGAATGTCTCCAGCCATGGCCAAAACTCTGGGGAGCAGAGAGTCACCCCCAACCAAGAATCCACTGCTTCCAGGCAGTGTGGGACAGAGGCACTCTGTTGGGAAGGGCATAGACCGCATGGTGGCCCAGCCCCTGCTTCGCTGGTGCTGGCTTCCTGTGCTCCTGGTTCTTGGATCTTTGCTGCCTTCACTTTGCCTCGGCTGCCCCTTCCGTTCTCGCTTGTCCCACCCTACAGCCCTTCTGTGCTCCCAGGATTAGCATCTGTCCCAGTATGAATGAAGAGTCTCAAAGTTGCCTGTCCTGGGTGTTGTTTGAAGGAAGGTGGGGCGTTTTTCTTGTAGTCAGAATGGCTCAGGTATCCAGTGGTTCTCCCTAAAAGGCTCTTTGCTCCTAAAGCTTTCTTTCTTTCTTTACTTGTTTTTTGCAGTGCTGGGAATGGAACCCAGGGTCTTGTGCATGCTAAGCATGTGCTTTACCATTGGCCTTACTAGAGCTTTCTTATTGTTGATGGAAGGTTCACCACTGACCAGTTGTAAATGTGCACTTCTGAGGTTGTTATGTTCTCCTTGCTGTGTTATGCAGCTGTTGCCACCAAACCTGCATATCCAGGGCTTTCTCCTCATTCTCTGCTGAAACCTGGACCCATTCAGCAGCTCCACACCCGCTTCCTCTGCACCGTTTGATTTTCTTGCCCTGGAGGAGAGGAATCCTCCAGTGTTGTGTTTGTGACTGGCCTGTGTTACTGATTGTCTTTTTCTTTTTTCTTTTTTTTTTTTTTTTTTTTTTTTTTTTTTTTTTTGGTTTTTTGATTTTTTTTTTTTCCAGTACCGGGAATTGAACTCACGACATTGCACTTGCCAGGCAGGCGCTGTGCCGCTGAGCTAAATCCCCAGCCCCCACTGATTATGTCTTCAAGTCCATCCAGTCGCTAGATTGCCTTAGGGTTGTGGCCTCCTTCGTTGCAGCCGGAGAAACTGTGCTATGTGGGGCCCCACACCCGCAGTGTCACCGAAGCTCTGGAGGAGGAGGAGGAGAAGGAGATGCCCGGGGAGCTTAGCCAGCTTAGGTGTTTCACTCTAGATCCTTGGCTGCTGTGATTCTGGGCAGCCCAGTGTCAGTCGTTGCGTTTTGCTTTGACTGTGGGTGAGAGAGCCCCTGTCCTAGACCCTTGACAGAAGCCTCCCCTCCTCCCCGCAGACCTGGCGTCCTGGAGTGGATGGGCACTGCAGACCTGCACCGGTCCAGCCTCCCTCCCGGCCAGTGACCGAGCCCTCAAGCACCCCTGGACACTACCTGCCCTTCGTTCTCTGCTTCAGTCCCTTCAGGGATGAGCCTTCGCTCAAGAGTCTCCTCTGTTGTTCCTTAGAGAAACTGGTCACTGCTGCCATCCCCATCACCACTTCTTGTGAGCCTCAGTGACTCTGACCTGCTCTCTACTCTATGGTGAGGGGAGGTTCTTCTAGCTGTATCAGAAGACATCCTGCCCCATCCCCTGCATTGGAGCAGCTGCTGTTGGTCTGCGGGAGGGGGGCTGGGTGCATATTCCTGTTGGGGAGACCAGCCCTGAGATACTTTGGCCAGGCTTACATGCCAGGAGCCTGGCCTGTGTGACTGTCTTTGGCCCTGGAAGAGTTCCTGTCTCTTTTCTGCTGGTTGCTCCCCTGACCCAGTGCCTAGATTCTAGGGAAAGAGCAGCCAATCCTGATTGTTTTCCTTGCGGAAAATAGTTTTGTTCCCAGGTTTGTCTAATCCTTCATTCATGACCTTTCTTTCTCTCAGACACTTGTGGCTTTTTTTCTTGCTTTATGGCCAGGAGTGACCATGCCTACCTTAGTCACCTTATTACTGAATTCCCTGCTACATTTGCTGTTGGAACTTCCGGGTTAGTGCGCAGATGGCCTGAGGCCAGGCTTGGTGTGCTCTTGGCCACCCCTTGGCATCTAGCTAGTGTCCTACTTGTGCCCCCAGCAGTTGGGCGCCTCTCTAGGCCTGAAGGAGGAGGGCAGCAGAGACAGGGATGCCATCTGACCCACGGATTTAACCCCTTCTTTTAAGGATCATTCCCAGAAGTGAAAACCCCTCCTGGGAGGTACTGAGGCCATACCAGTAGCCAGTGGCGTGGGGACCATAGTTCGCTCCAGCGCCAGCCCCTGCTTGAAGAGGGCCCAGCCCCCCATTGCTTCCCCGGCAAGACTCCAGGTAAATGCTGGGCTGCAGGAGGGTGCCCTGCAGAGGCAGGAGGGACTCTAGCTTCTCTGTTTTCTTGCATCCCCAGGTTTACCGGCGGCCCTGACTCAGTTCTGTTAATTCATGGTGTGAGTGGCCAGTGGCTTAGGTGAGCCTTTCCCAGCCCGTGACCCATGCCCAAGGCCCAGTACAGTGCCTTCCAAGGTGGGGACCAGCAGCCAAGCACAGAGACTACAGCTTCATGCCCTGTGTGCACATGCCCCCACAGGTGTTTGGACAGTGCACGCCAGGTCCTCCTTGCTGTGTTCACCCCCTGACTTCTGGGAAGCACCCCAGCTCCACAATGGCAGCAGAGACGCTCAACTTTGGGCCCGAGTGGTGAGTGACACGTGCTGAGGCTGGTGCGGCCGGTTGTGCTGTGGGAGAGGAGCTGGGACCTTGGGCGCTCTCCTCTTCTGTGCTTGCTGCAGGCTGAGGGCCCTTTCCAGCGGAGGCAGCGTGGCCTCACCACCCGCTTCCCCTGCCATGCCCAAGTACAAGTTGGCTGACTACCGCTACGGGCGAGAGGAGATGCTGGCCCTGTATGTCAAGGAGGACAAGGTGTGGTGGCGACCCAGGGAGCGGGGAGTGGTGCCCATGCCTGTGGCCTCAGCTGGAGAGAGGCCCTGAGCTGTGGAGTCTTGGCCCTCCTGCTTCAGGTCCCTGAAGAACTTCAGGACAAGGAGTTTGCCGCGGTCTTGCAGGAGGAGCCTCTACAGCCACTGGCCCTGGAGCCTCTCACCGAGGAGGAGCAGGTGGGACTGGGCCAGGCGAGGCTGTGGGGGCCAGATTTGGGGAGCTGGGTTGGTCTGGTGCTGGGTCCTCACTCCCGCCCCTGGCTCCCTCCTCAGAGGAACTTCTCCCTGTCCGTGAACAGCGTGGCTGTGCTGAGGCTGATGGGGAAAGGAGCCGCTCCCCCGCTGACTGGGACCTCCCGTGGCAGGGGCAGCACGAGGAGCCGAGGTAGAGGGGTACTGCAGGTTCAGGGGTGGGCAAGGGTGAGCCTGTGGTCCTCGGCATGGAGAAACACTCTGCTGGGTTTTAGATCCAGGTGTGTCTGTTGTCCTCCTCTAGGCCGTGGCCGTGGTGACAGTTGCTTTTACCAAAGAAGCATCGAAGAAGGCGATGGCGCCTTTGGGCGAAACCCCCGGGAGATCCAGCGAAGCCAGAGCTGGGATGACAGGTGGGGCTGGAAGGAGGTGGCATGGAGGCAGAGCCAGGGAGGACCCCAGGGCTGGGTCAGGGTATGCAGAAGGAGACTGAGAGTTAGCAGAGACCCACCATGTAAAACCTGTGTCAAGAGTCCCCTGTGCCTGCTGACCTGCTGGGCCCAGCCTGCCCTTTGCTTCCTGTTCTCTTAGAGCCTGTTTGGCCGTATGATCTGTTCTGTATGACTGTGCTCCTTTCTCCTGAGCCTGATTTTCCCCTTTCCTCTGTTCTACCCCTACCCCAGGGCAGAGTGGACAAGGTGTGTAACAATCATGCAGGGTCGGGAGGAATGTATACTGTTTTTGACCAACACCTTTCTTTCCTGCAGAGGTGAGAGGCGGTTTGAGAAGTCGGCAAGGAGGGATGGAGGTATGCGAGTGGCAAGTGCGGTGGGTGCCCCTCCGAGGGGGAGGGCTATGGGGCAGTGGTAGAGGCAGGAGGGCAGGGTTAAGAGCCTACCAGTTACCAAGGCAGCCGTCCTGCTCACTGTGCTCTCTTCCCACGGCCAGCACGGTCTGGGTTTGAGGAGGGCGGGGCTGGCCCGAGGAAGGAGCATGCCCGCTCGGACAGTGAGAACTGGCGCTCACTTCGAGAGGAGCAGGAGGAGGAGGAAGAGGGCAGCTGGAGACTCGGGGCAGGACCCCGGCGAGATGGTGATCGCTGGCGCTCTGCTAGCCCTGGTGAGATTGGGCAAAGTGGTGTTGGGAGTTTGGGAACTGGACGGAGCACAAGGCTTCCTGGGGTGGGGCCTGGAGGAGAGCAGTGCTGGTGATCCTGGGGAGTCCTGTGAACAGCAGAGGAGGGGCGATCCTGGCTTGATGTGGGTGCCAGTCTTCTTTTTCTTTCCAGATGGCGGCCCCCGCTCTGCTGGCTGGCGGGAGCATGGAGACCGGCGTCGAAAGTTTGAATTCGATTTGCGTGGGGAGCGAGGAGGGTGTGGTGAAGAGGAGGGGCGGGGTGGGGGAGGCAGCTCTCATCTCCGGAGGTGCCGAGGGCCGGATGGCTTCGACGATGACAAGGACGGGCTCCCAGAGTGGTGCCTTGATGATGAGGATGAGGAGATGGGCACCTTCGATGCCTCTGGGGCCTTCTTGCCTCTCAAGGTATCTTCGAGGAGAGGAGAGGTGGGCTGAGCAAGGGTAGGGAAGTGTGTGCCTCATTTGGGACCCCTGGCTTCCCTCACCATGTACTTCCTTCTCCTTGGCCACATAGAAGGGCCCCAAGGAGCCCATTCCTGAGGAGCAAGAGCTCGACTTCCAGGGCTTGGAGGAAGAAGAGGAAGAGGCACCAGAAGGGCTGGATGAGGAGCGACCTGAGGCAGGTGAGCTGAGGTGCTGCTCGGGGTAGGAGGGTGCGGGCTGGTGGTGTCAGTCAGCAGGCAGGGTGCTGGCTGCCCACCCAACTGTAGGATCAGGCTGCTTAGGACCACAAGCTGAGCAGGTGCTCAGAGGTGGGAGGGACCCAGAGCAGCAGAGCTGAAAGCTCATGAGGCAAGATCACCCATGAGGATGGCCTTGAAATCCCTGCGAAGCTCCTCAGAGCACAGGCCTGCTGATGTCCTGCAGTGTGGGTCGGAGATCCACTATACAGCAGGATGTTTGCACTAACAGCATTTTGTTAGAGGATGGACGCGCTGCCTGAGGCCGCAGGCAGTGCTTTGCGTCACCTTGCATGCAGAGCCCTCCACAGTTTGGTTTTGAGTCCTGGTGGTCATTGTTTTTTTTGCAGTACGAAGAAGTCAACCCCAGGGCCTTCACCTTCACACTGATCTGCATCTCTGATCTTTTTCTACCTTTTATTTTGAGACAAGGTCTCATTAAGTCATTTAGTTGCCCAGGCTAAGTTTGAGCTTTTAGTTCTCCTGCCTCAGCCTCTCAGAATGCTGGGATTACCAGCATGTGCCACCACCCCAGGCTTTGTGATTATCCTTTTCCTCCAGGTGGGAAAGAGCTGCCCCCACTGCCGCCTGCAGAGAAGTCCACCTCTCCGTCCCCACTGCCCACCTTGGGCCCGCTCTGGGGCATGAATGGGGAGGGCGACGAAGCAGTGGAGAAAGAACTCCCCGCAGCTGAAGGTAGGTGTGATGGGGACATGCATGGGCAGTGCCGGTGGAGAAGGGGTGCACAGGTTGTTGGTATTGAGGGAGGCTACAGCGGGAACCCATTTGTCTGGAAGGTGGATTGGGAACTGTCTTGTCCCCTTTTCTGCATCCTGCCCACTTCCTCCTTCACTTCTAGGAGATGACATGCGGGGACTCCAGCTGAGTCCTGGTGTTGGCTCCCCTCCTCCCCCGCCCGGAGACTTGGAAGATGAAGAGGGCCTGAAGCACCTGCAGCAGGTATGGGGATGCCAAGGCAAGCATAGTGTCATTGCTCACCTGCCCCCGTCACTGACTCCACCCTTCCAGATTCTCTCCTGCCCAGTCCGTGACCCAGCCTTCTTCACCCACCCCAGCCCCATGCTCCCATGCTGATGCTTCGCTGATTGGCTTCAGCCTTGCCTCTCTTCTGGGCTCCCAGGAGGCAGAGAAGCTAGTGGCCTCCCTGCAGGACAGCTCCCTGGAAGAGGAGCAGTTCACGGCCGCCATGCAGACCCAGGGCCTGCGCCACTCCACAGCCGCCACTGCCCTCCCCCTCAGCCACGGCGCTGCCCGCAAGTGGTTCTACAAGGACCCACAGGGCGAGATCCAAGGTAGCTATGGGAGCAGGAGAGTTGTGCAGAGCCCTTCTGCTCAGTGTTGTCAGTGCACCCTCTGACCCTAGTGGTGGTGTCCCCTGCCTTTCTCACATGCTTGGCCAGGCCCCTTCACAACCCAGGAGATGGCAGAATGGTTCCAGGCCGGCTACTTCTCCATGTCCCTGCTGGTGAAGCGCGGCTGTGATGAGGGCTTCCAGCCTCTGGGAGAAGTGATCAAGATGTGGGGCCGTGTGCCCTTTGCCCCTGGTCCCTCGCCACCCCCACTGCTGGTGAGCACGACATTCCTGTGCTGCCCTCGCAGAGCGGGCTGGTGGGAGGTGGTGTGCTGACAGAAGCAGGCAGTTCCCCAGGGGCCATCCTCCTGGCTGTGCACACCAGCCACACTCTCACCCCATGCAGGGAAACATGGACCAGGAGCGGCTGAAGAAGCAGCAGGAGCTGGCCACGGCAGCCTTGTACCAGCAGCTGCAGCACCAGCAGTTCTTTCAGCTGGTCGGCAGGTACGGGGCTGTGAGCTTGGCCCTCAGGCCAGCCCATGGTACCATGTGGCCCACTGTTATGCCGTCTGTCTCTGCAGTCGCCAGATCCCGCCGTGTTCGCTCCGGGAAAAGGCAGCTATGGGGGACCTGGCACCGCCGCAGCAGCAACAGCTCACGACGTTTCTGCAGCAGCTCCAGGCTCTCAAACCCCCCAGGTCTGTGTGGCCATGGGTATCTGGGTTCTGAGGATGGGGCCAGGAGAAGAGGGCCAAACAGAAGTGGGTACAGGGCCCTGAGAGTGAGTGGTTTACTCCTCAGAGGTGGAGACCAGAACCTGCTCCCGACGATTAGCCGATCCTTGTCGGTGCCGGATTCAAGCCCCCTCTGGGACGTACATACCTCAGCCTCATCACAGTCTGGTGAGTGGCTGGTTGGCTGGCTCTGGGTGAGATGGGGCAGGTCTGCCTGTTACCCTCATGCTACAGCCACTCCTGTGACGGGGGCCAGGCCTGAGAGCCCTCCTGTAGCAGTCCATGCCTCCTGCAGGTGGTGAGACCAGTCTTTGGGACATACCAATTAACTCTTCGACTCAGGGTCCAATCCTAGAACAGCTCCAGTTGCAGCATAAAGTGAGTAGCTTTGCAGCCTGGACTGGGCACACAGGCCAGTGGAGGGTGGCTGCTTCTCCCTCTCTGACCTGCCCTGGCTCAGTTCCAGGAGCGCAGAGAAGTGGAGCTCAGGGCGAAGCGGGAGGAGGAAGAGCGCAAGCGCCGTGAGGAAAAGCGCCGCCAGCAGCAGCAGGAGGAGCAGAAGCGGAGGCAGGAGGAGGAGGAGCTCTTTCGGCGCAAGCAGGTCAGTGTCCTTACCATGGTGGCTGCCCGGCACTGGGGCTGCTGCCGACTCCACCCGCCAAGTGTTCCTTCTTCTGCCAGGTGCGGCAGCAAGAGCTGCTTCTGAAGCTGTTGCAGCAGCAGCAAGCAGCAGCCGCAGTTCCTGTGCCACCTGCACCCAGCTCGCCACCCCCACTCTGGGCTGGCTTGGCTAAGCAGGGTCTGTCCATGAAGACGCTTCTGGAGCTGCAGCTGGAGGGCGAGCGGCAGCTGCACAAGCCGCCTGTGCCCCGGGAGCCACCAAGGGCCCAGGCCGCCAACCACCGCTCGGTAAGCAGCGCCCCCTCCCTAGCTCTGGTGGGCAGGGGCACAGGGTGGTGGGATGGGGTGGGCACTGGGCCCAGCTTCTCCCTCTATACTTCCTTGGCGGTGTGGTTTTGAGACCTTTTCTGTGTGACTCTCACCTCTTCCCTCTCCCTGTGCCACCTAAACAAGTTGCCCTGCCTTGCTTTCCTGGGTTTCTGATTAGAGCCCCCTGACTTCTTGCCATCTCAGCAGCTTGGGGGCCTGGGTGCTGCCCCCCTGAACCAGTGGGTTTCTGAGGCCGGGCCACTGTGGGGCGGGCCCGACAAGAGCGGGGGCAGTGGCGGTGGCAGCCTGGGGCTCTGGGAGGACACCCTCAAGAGCAGTGGAAGCCTGGCCCGTGGCCTCGGCCTGAAGAATAGCCGGAGCAGCCCGTCCCTCAGGTGGGTGTGAGACCTGGAGGGCCAGGGGATCAGAGAAGGGGCTGCTGAATCCTGGGCTGATCTCTGGCCTCCAATTCCCTATGCTCCTCAGTGACTCCTATAGCCACCTGTCAGGACGGCCTGTTCGCAAAAAGACAGAGGAAGAAGAGAAGCTGCTGAAGCTGCTGCAGGGCATCCCCAGGCCCCAGGACGGCTTCACCCAGTGGTGTGAGCAGATGCTGCACACCCTGAGCACCACGGGCAGCCTGGATGGTAGGGCATGGCGCACAGCCAGCCAGCCGTGCTGGTGGGTGGGCTGCCGGTCTGGCCAGGTGTACCTGACGGTGCTGCCTTCCCCACAGTGCCCATGGCTGTTGCAATCCTCAAGGAAGTGGAGTCCCCCTATGATGTCCATGATTATATCCGTTCCTGCTTGGGGGACACCCTGGAAGCCAAAGAATTTGCCAAACAATTCCTGGAGCGGAGGGCCAAGCAGAAAGCTAGCCAGCAGCGGCAGCATCAGCAGCAAGTAAGTTCTCAGGGGGTCTGGGGAGGGGTGCCTGGCACCCTCCTGACTCACCATCCTCTCTGCTGCCTTAGGAGGTATGGCTGAGCAGTGCCTCCCTGCAGACAGCCTTTCAGGCCAACCACAGCACCAAACTTGGCCCTGGGGAGGGCACCAAGGCCAAGAGGCGGGCATTGATGCTGCACTCCGACCCCAGCATCTTGGGTGAGCGTGGGGGTGGTGGGCTACAGAAGGAGCTTGGCTTCCTTCTCAGGGGTCCAGAGGAGTCTGGGGAGTTCACGCCTGGTTCTTCTGGCTTCAGGGTACTCCCTGCATGGACCTTCTGGTGAGATCGAGAGCGTGGATGACTACTGACCAGCCCGTCCCACTAGCCCCCTGGGCTGGAGGCCAGGAGTGGCAGCCGCAGCTTGGACCCTTGGGTCCCAGGCCTGCAGGCTCCCAGCAAGGAGCAGAGGAGGAGCAGGGGCAGGGTCCCCAGCACTTGTTACAAACCACACGATGCACCTTAACTCACCCACCACGAGGCACTTTACAGATTGGGGGGAAGGGGTTTTTCTTTTTTTTTTTTTTTTTTTTCCAGACCGGGAACCGAACTCACGACCTTGCGCTTGCCAGGCAGGCGCTTTTGCCACTGAGCTAAAAAAAAAAAAAAAAAAAAAAAAAAAAATAAATTCTCCTTCTCCTCTTTCTCCTTCTTCTCCTTTTTTTTTTTTTTTTTTTTTAATTTTAAATGACTTTGAAGAAAATGTTAGGAGACAAAAAAATTTGTTGAAAAGCTAGATTCTAGGTACACTTTCTCCCTGGGGAGATAGTGTGATAATGGAAGGTCCACAGAAGTTTTGTTCCGTTTTTTTTTTTGTTGTTTTTTTTTTTAAGAAAAATGAAAAATAATGAAAAAAAAAAAAAAGGCTGAAAGGAAAAACACACTGTTATTTTGGGGCAGTGGGGACACACGCCCCACGGACCTGTCCTGCCTGGCCCCTGAGGCTGCACTTACCCTGCTGCCCCCCGGAAGGTGGGCTGTTGGGGTAACAAAGCTGGGGCCCTAGCAGTTTGCACAGCGAGGCCCCCTCAGTGGCCCGCCCACCGGACCCGCTGTGAGCAGCCCCCTGTTGCTGTGACTGTGGCAGAGGTGTCCGAGGTGGGGGCCAAAGTCACCCCTTGGCTTCGCTGCTTTGGGGGAAAGTTGCACAAATTGGACAAGTCGCCTCAGCCCCCAGCTGCCATTCCATGCGCTAGCTGATGGGGCGATGGGGAAAGGCCAGTTGGTGACCGCCTTCTGTCAGGGGCGGGACTTGGACTCAGGCCTGCTGAGGGGCTTCCCCCACCGCTGCCATTTTGGGAGACGGCCTGGTGTGACGTGTGACGCCGAAAGCCCCAGCTCCCTGCCTTGCCACATGAATGTATTCTTTGGTTCCCAAGCCCCCGCCGTGCCCCCAGAGGAGGGGCAGAGCGGTTCCTCCTGGAGCTGGGAAGGCGCTGCTTCTCGGCCGAGTCCTTGCTGTCGAGGGGCAGGAGAGCCTCAAGGGCCAGGAGTGGGTGGCCAGGGCTGAGGCTGCAGTGCAAGGGACTGTCACGAGCGAGCCCTGCCCTGCAGCCCGCCATGTGGGGTATGGACCACCCAGCTCTGCGCCTGACCCCTCGTTGACCAAATGGGAGAGGAGCAAGAGGCCTCCCCTCGATGTGTTTTAAGTGTCGGGTAAGGCGGGGGTCTAGAGTGCAGGCGCGTCTCCTGTTGCTCACCGACTTCTCGTAACTCCCACCTGGGCTTGTCTCCATTGTTTTTTTGTTTTTGGTTTCTTTCTGTTTTTTTGGTAGTTTGTCTAATCTTTTGCATTCTCATCAAACTTCTCCCATCGACCTCATTGCTGAGTGCAGTATTAGGGCGAGACTGCCGCTGCCTCCCTCCATGAATGTATTGCTCCTTACTGCCCTGGGGAAGTGGGGAGCTGCCCCAGTTTCTTTCCCCATCTATCTCGAGAGAGGACTTTTCTTTCCTTTTTTTTTTTTTTTTTTTTTGCACCAAAGTGGCAACTGGGTCAGTGTCGGGGATAAAGCTGGCCTCAGGGTGGCAGGGCCCCTCCACCTACTTCTCCCTGGTTTTGACAGTGTTAAGTGTCCGTGAAAAGACAATATTCTCTCTAAAGCAATAAGGGGGTGATGGGCCAGGGGGAAATGTCTTGCTGCTGCTGGCCCCCCAGCTCCCCTTCCCTCTTGCCAGTGTGGCGGCATTAGAGGGGGAGGGGAGATTCCTGTTGTGACTGAATGTAACCGCCCTGCCCCTGCCACAGCCAATGCAGGGGAAGGGGGGACACTCTTCCTGTCTCTTCCTGTCCCTTCCCCCCAGAGCTAAAGAGACTTTTGAGTTGGGGGGCCCACGAGCCTGGAGAGGCCTTAACCCTGTGAGGAAGTGTAGGGGGAGCCCTCTCCCACCCCATCCCCTCTGAGAGTGGTCAATGTTTACAAGCCCTGAGCCCCGGCCAGGGACTCAGATCCCATTGCTGTCCTGTCCCAGTCTTCCTGGGCCCTGCTGCCCCCCTCCTGGGATTGGGGTAGAAAAGGGGTCATTCTGTGTTCCCTCATCTGCCTTGTACCCACAGTGCCCCCCACCACCCTGTGTGACTTCCCATTCTCCTTCCTGCCCCATGTAAATACTCCCAATAAAACTTGGTGTGTGTTCTCCCTGTCTACCGCTCCTGCTGGCTTTGTCTGGGGGAGGGATTTGGGTGAGTGGCCAAGGCTCAGGGCTGGAAATGAAAGGAGTTGTGGGACAGGGAGACTGCAGTGCAGGGCAATATGCCTCTGGGAACATCTGACCCTGCTAGAGCTGAGGGTCCCCTGCCTCTGGCTTCAGCTTTGATTGGAGGCAAAGTCCTTCCTCCCACAACCCCCGCTTCGTGGGGTCCTTTGTCCATGGTCTGCGCTGAGCAGAGAAGACAAAGCAAGGGAGGAGACCAGGTACAGAGTTGGAATTGGTTCCTTTATGGAAAAACTGAAAATATAATAAAAATTAAAATAAAACCAGTTTTAAAAAAGCCACCCCTGGAGTTTCCACCTCCTGCCTCTGGTCATCCAGAGAGGTGAGGCCCTGACTCCAGGGCGGCAAAAGGATAAGGGCTTTCTGCCCCCCTCTTCCCCCATACCATCCCCATCTTTATCTCCACAGTGGGGGCCCCGGGAGGAACCAAACCTGGGTGGGGAAGCAGGGACCCGAGGCCCTGTGGCCCAGGGAGGGAGGCTTGGTGTGGACCCAGCCCCAGAGCTCCCGGCCTGTAGTGTGGGCATGGGCAGGGCCCCTCCCGCCCTGGGCCCAGCTGGGATTGGGGCAGTTAGTTCCAGATCTTGAGGAAGGAGTCCCAGGAGCCAGTGGCCACAGCCATGCCATCGTCAGTGACCCCAAGGCAGCTCACTCGGTTGTCGTGGCCAGCAAGGACACCTGAGGAAAAGGAAGGTGACGGGCCCGACCTGGGCTCCGGGCCCTGCCCACCGCCGCAGCACCCAGGCCTCACCTGCGCGGTCGCCCTTCATGGCATCCCAGATGTTGCAGTTGAAGTCGTCGTAGCCCGCGAGCAGCAGCCGGCCGCTGCGTGAGAAGGCCACCGAGGTGATGCCACAGATGATGTTGTCGTGAGAGTACATGAGGAGCTCCTGATCGGCCCGGAGGTCAAACAGGCGGCAAGTGGCGTCGTCAGAGCCCGTGGTGAAGGCATAGCCGTTGGGGAAGAACTGCAGGACAGATATACAGTGGGCAGGGGTGAAGGGCAGCCAGGACCTAGAAAGGGGCTACTGGACTCTCCCCCAACTTACAGCCACGGCGTTGATGTCGGACTCATGACCGATGAAGGTCTGTCGGCACATGGAATCCCGCACGTCCCACAGCTTGATGGAGGCATCACAGGCACCTGATACAAAGGTGCGGCCATCGGGGGCCAGTGACAGGGACATGACATCCCCACTGTGTCCAGCAAAACCCACAGTCTGCTGGCCTGTCTCTATGTCCCACAGGGCACTGGAAAGGGGACAAGAAGGAAGGGCTCAGAGATGGGGTAAAGGGCAGATTTCCCGGCTTCTATGCCCTCACCATGTGAGCCAGCCCTGACAGTCTGTGGGAGGGGCCCAGGGAGCCTGTGGGTGGGAGGCCAGGGCCTCAGGTTGCAGTCCTACTGAGCAGTGGGACAGGGAGGCAGGGAGTATGGCTGAGCCCAGACTGCCCACGCCTGTGGGGCCTCACCAGGTGGTATCCCCAGAGCTGGTGATGATTTGGTTGTCATCCAGGAAGCGGCAGCACGACAAGTACCCTGGGGAAAGGGGCTGGTCAGCCAAGTCTCAATGGCGGGGGCAGCACAGCCCCTCTCCCACAGCAGAGCCCTTCCCTGCTGGGCCCCTCTCACCAGTGTGGCCAGGCAGCTCCCGGCTGACCCTGACATTGCCCTCTCGAGTCTTGAGGCTGTAGATGGAGCAGATGTTGTCCAAACCCCCACAGGCCACAAAGTTCCCTGAGGGCGCGTAGGCACAGGTCATGACCCAGGAGGAGCGCAGCGGGATGGCGTGGACCTGTGGAGGACGGGTAGTGCCCAGGCTCAAGGCCAGCCAGGGTTCTGCAGCCCAGACCCATCTCAACCTCCCTAGGGTAGTTCCTCTACCTTGTTGGTGGTGTAGCTGTCCCAGATGATGAGCTTCCCGTCCTGGGAGGCGCTGACCAGCAGCCTGGGGTACAGGTGGGGAGAGGCAGCAGGTCAGGGCGTGGAGGCAGGCCATCCTCTCCTATCTGGAGGCTCTTCTGAGACAACCCCAGCAGTAGCTCAGGTGTCCTGTCAGTGTGGGCCTGCTTTCCCTGGCCTCTCAAGAATGCTCAAACCCCGTCAGACTTCAGAGGCTGTCCTCCCTCCACTGCTGCTCCGGCCAATGTAAGATCATCCCTGAGCTTATGAGCACCAAAGCTGAGCACAGAGCCTCACCCCGGGCCGCGCACACACCTTGAGTCTGTCCCCCAGTGCATGGCATAGATTTTTGCAAGATGCCCCCGGAGGGTCCTCCGTGTCCTCATCTGGATTCTCCCCACTGGGTCCAGCCCAGCTGTGATCTGGAGGTGGAGACACAAGGACTCAGGGAGACCCGGGTGACAGGACCCCAACCCAGCCAACCCTTGCCTCCTGAATCCCCAGGCCAGCCCTGCAGCCGCCTCACCTGGGTCAGCGTTGAATCCCCACATGCTTTTCTGGCATCCTGCAAGAGATGACAGAGCCAGAGAAAAGCAGGAGACAAGATGGTTGGGCAAAGAGAGGAAAGAGAAAGGAAACAGGAGGAAAGGCAGTGGGGAAGAGGAGACATGCAGAGATTAGGGTACCCTCCCCATCGCCCAAGCAGCCCCCTCCAGGCAGCAAGGCAGGCAGCAATCCCCATAAGCTGCCAGGCCCTGCCTGCTCAGATTCCCATCCCAGCAGCGGCCAGGCCCTCACCCGGATCTGGTTCCGGAGCTGCTCGGCCTCCTGTCTCAGTTGCTCCAGCTCACTCATGGCGCCGGGCCCGTGGGGCGGGGTTGGGGGCGGCTGGGGGCCGCGGGACGGGGG